ACACACAAAAGGAGCCTATCTAATCAAACAGTTGCTTGATCGATGAAATGTCCTCTCTATGGAAAGAGGTTTTCTCTGTGTGGAAGGAATCCATGGTAGCTGAGATTAAAGTCAACAAGCATGGAGAAAACCAAAACTTTAAAAAAATCATTTAGCTTTTCTTGTAAGCTAAGATAAAAGGATTAAAGAAAATAGAAATTTGCATTGCTCAAGTCATTGACTGAGGAACTTGAGGCTTTACAGCTCCTTAAAGGGAATTCATTTAGCAGTTATGTCCTGGACAGGAGAATCTTGATGGAACTGTTGGGAAATACTAAGAAATTTTTCATGAGTGCAGCGTACTAAATAATATATGCATCATAACATGAAAACTAGAACTATATATTCAAGCCTGCACAAAAATAATTCGATTTCCAACACACGAAACCAAGCAATAAAATTGAATCAGATAATCCTAAATTTCCAGCAGAAGAATACAAATTAACTCTTGAAATTTCATACTTTCTTAGAAATCAATGAAAAAGGAAAACCTTTGGGCCATTGTGCGATTATCTTTTCTTTGAGAAATCCCACAGTTGTACTGGAACTGTATTTGATTGGTCCAATATCACTGCCATCAGCAAGCCTGAATTTGAGCTCGACCAATTCTTCCACGGCCATTAACAATCTTACAATAATAGATAATCCAAATTTCTTGTAAACCCACAAGTCAATTCAATTGCAGCATCACATTAGACTTAAAAAATCCACCCCTTTTGTTGTTCAATAAACAACAACTCCTTCAAAACAAAAAATTAAGGCTAAAAACTAAATAACCCAGATCAATCAAGAAATGTACAGAAATTCAAATCTCCTATTCTCCATTTCGGGTACAGATCCTCAAGAATCAAGATCAAAACTTACAAGATTTGCAATTAATTTATGAAAAGGAATAAATTTATGAGAACTTTAGAGTTCGAATTCTCTTTGCACGAAACGGTAATGCAAATGGGTTGATGATTGAATTGAATACTTGTCAGCTGCAAGAATGAGAAACTTTATTGTGCTTTGAATATTTTATTGATGTGGGATTTTTCTTTTCCTTAAAGAAATACAAATTTACGACTGCCAAAATGGAAGGTTTCCAAGCAAGATTCTTTTTCTTGAATCAGTCTGGAAAATTTATTGACTTTTGATATAGATATTTTACTCGTTCCGTGAACAGTTGCAGCTGAGAAATTTGACTGCATAAATTGCACCAGGACCGCTTCATCTTCCCACTAATTGAACTGCTCAGAGGGAAATCTTTCACATATTTGGAAATTCACCCTACAATATAGGGTAAAAAACTTAAAAGAAGTGATTTTAGTACTTATAAAAAAAAAAGGGAAAAATATTGAACGTTGAATTAAGCTAAATTTAAATATTTTTTAAAGCTTAATATTGAATAATGTAATAATGAATAGTGGTAGGTTACGTTATTGGGTTTGATAAATACTCTAAGTCTCAGCACAGTGGACATGGTAACATTGTTCAGGGCTTGATCGGTAGTGATTATAAGAATTGATTTTTTAACCATTAGAGAAAAAAGTGAGTCTTACCTGTGAGTAAAAAAGTAAAAAATAACAGTTGGAATAATGAAATAATGAGCAAAAAAATTGATTTTTTTTTTTTGTGTGAAAAATTGCTACCAAACGGGGGTTAGTATAATTTTGTTTATTTATTTTATTTTTTAATTACATAAATTGTTTGATTCGATTTAAATGGTTTTTTAAGTTCGGAACCTAAGTCAAACATGATCTAATTAGTTTGGTTCGATGCTAAATTGAAATATTGATGGATCCAGGTTGATCCAAATAAATAATTTCCAACATGTTTGGTTAAGTTCGCAATTTAAAAAGTCAAAATTTAAATCAATGGTTTCCTACGTATTTGGTTTCGAGGTTCTCTATACATACTAAGGTCTAAGTTAATATTGTGTCACACCCAAGTTCAGGCTAACATGACATGAAATAGGTCATAAGCGCTTTAATCCGACACATTGAGACCCTTTTTAAAGTTTTTCTTTTAGAAAAAAATGAAGACCCAAGTATTTAAATAAAAATATCAACATATTTAGAAGAAAAATAATTTGATTATAGCTAATAATACGATGTATTGAAAAAGTATTTAGTAGCTACATTTTTGAATCAATATTTTGTCGTTTTACATTCATGATCACTAAAAGTTAAAAAGCAACGGAAATAATAAATGTTCAAAAGGTTTCTTCTCATATATTTATTCATATATTGATTTATATTCCTTCGCCCTGCTCGCAGAATGACATATCGTAAAGTGTTATCGAATTTGAACAACTGAGTAGTTAGAATGTTCTTTTTCATTTTAATACAGTTATCCATAACAACGCTCCTCTTATATTCCTATGCTATTTGAAATTTTTTGATGTTCTTCATCAGACTTTTCTAACTCCTCTTTACTCTTCTCTCTATGCATCCTCAAAGTGTAGCAATTATTCTTTTCTCTTTAAATTCCTCTATTTGGTTGGTCTAGGTAAAGGGCAAAGACAAATCATATTTTTACGTATATCTTTTATTGGAAACCGACAAAGTTACAATCTTGACTGTGGGAGCAAACCTTTTTGAGATTCATTCTTGCATTCCGGTCTAACTCTCCTTTCTATTTATCATTGGATCTTCATATCTATAGTACTTGTTTGGTTAGCAGAGATCGCCACTATTGATTTCAAGTTTCACAGCCACTTAGTAAGCTCGATTTTGATTAATCTAACACATTGAAATAAGTATATTTAGACGTTAGTGGCCTATCGTGCTGATATGTTAATATGCACATTTAGGCATTTGTAAATTGTACCTTCGGGTTGTCACCTTGAGTTTTTAGTTGCCAGACGCAAGTACAAAGCAGAGAATGGGGAGATTTTGATGAGGAAGAAACAAAAAAAAAAATTCAATATAAAGAGCTCCAAAAATTAATTAGGGGTGTGAAATTTGGGTGGAAAGAAAATGAATTCCAGGAAATTGAATTGCCTAGAAATTGTTTTTCTCGGAATTGTCAATTGATAGTGTTTGATTGGTATAATTTTTCACGTGAAAAATGTTGAAATAAAAAGTGTTTTTTAGTGTTTGTTTGATTTTGTTTTACATGGAATTTGTCAATTTAAGAAATATCCACTTCTACCATTGTTCCTAAAATTTGTTTTCAATGCCAACAAAAAAAAAAAAGGAAAAAAAAAAGATCAAAAAATTATCTATATTTTGGTGTTTGTTTGGCTTTGTTTTACATGAAAATTGTTAATTAAATGAAAATATTTTTTTACAATTAGAGATAAAATTTGTTTCTATTTAAAAAAAATAAACTAAAATAAAAATCCGCTACAGTAAATGGAACTTGAATTCTCACCAATATGGTTAGAATTCAAATTTCATGAAATGGTGGAAAATGTCTACGTGGCCAAGGTCCATAGAAATGATTGTCCATGGAAAATTTATCTTGTCAAACATCACAAATGTTGGAAAATGGAATTGACCGTGAAAATTTTTGGGCAATCAAACAGGCCCTTAGAGTTAAAGGAATTGCTGATGCCACAGCTACACACGTACGCACCGAAGTTTGGACAAAACTGTCCGAATATACATGGAGTCAGTGATAGATGTTATCGGTTTTTGTAAAATGCAGAAGCAGCCCAATCATGGGGACTGACACTAGGAGTAGCTAGCTGTACACCATATCCACCATATAATAACTCTACATGCATAGACGTTCATTTTACTCCTACTTAGCTCCCTTCCACTGCCAGATTCTCTTCCATCACAAGCAAATAATGTAAAAATTGTTGTTTCACTAATACATGAAAACTCGGAAAAAAAATATCATAACACTTCAAGGCCTTTTTAGCCATTTAAACATTGATCGTGTTGAGAATTGAAACCATAATTCTATTCTATCGAGTGCAATCAATTGTAGAAAGAAAAATAAACGCTGAAAAACACACAAGATTTAAAGAGATTTACTTCAATGTGAGATTACACCCTTTTTCTCACTGCAATAATTTAGTATAAATGTATAATGAAAAAATATTTACAAAAAAAATAAAAAAAATCGTAAATCTATCTTCTCCAACCTCTCTCTCTTTTACAATGATGATTAAGAGCGATCCTTTATTCATGAGATAAATTTGAGTAAAATCAGATTTTACAAGGACTTTATTCCTTAGAACAAAAATTCTTAAAGAAATTTAATATGTTCAGAGGCTACCCTGCACACACCCTCTGCTGCTCGAAAGGAGGCCTCCTGCCCCTCCCCCCCCCCTCCGCCCCGGCCTTCCAACCCTCATGATGACCTCATGACAAATGTCGCAATCACTTCCTCAAAACGAGAATAATTAGGATCGAGAATAATTAGATCCACAACTTAATGGATAGAATTTTTCGTTTTTGATTTTCTTGCGGCATTGCAAATATATATTTTGTCACTTTAATTTAGAGAATGAAAAAGGAATAATTTAAATTTAGATGCATTTGATTCATTGAATTACAACGAATAAATATTTGTTTGTAGAAGTACGAAAAATAAATAATGTATTCATTGGCTAGCCCTTGTTTGACAATCATTCTTTTTCATACTCATTTTCAGCTATACATACTCACCATAAAATATTCTTCATATAGGTCCAAATTTATTTTTTTTATTCTTTAACCATACATCCTCCCAAAATTTACTATTCAAAAATTTGTTCTTTTCAAATAAATTCTATCTAACAAGGGCTCAAAATAGCTTCTAAAATAACAATTTAAAAGTTTTTTTTTCCAAATATATGATCTGTTAAAAGTTTTTAATTCTTTTCTGAGCAGTAATTTTTTAATTCTTTTCTGAGCAGTAATTCTTACATTGTTCTAAAATGTTCTAAAATAATTTGTAAATAACTTAAATTATCTTGAATAAAAAAAATAATAATTAAAACTGAAAGGATAAATCTTTGAAAATTGAATCAACACAAACCCTAATGCTGTTCAATATGTAAAGCAAAATGAAAATATTAAGCTCTCATTTACTAATTAATCAATGAATTAACTTGCAGGTTGAAATCAAAGGGTGGGTTGGGGTGGCGTGGGTGAGTGGGGTGCTTAGCTATGAACTGGCCTAAACGGTGGCACTGCGACCGGAAACCCTTGTGGGTTTGCTCCCATACTACAGCACCCGGTCCCACCTCCACATTGATCAGACTCCTCCATCACCATTTCTTCATTCTCCTCCATCTGATCTTCTTCTGTTCTTGTATCCTGTCCGTCGATTTCATCAATCTGATCATCATCGTCATCAACTTCGTCGTCAGAGGGTATTAAATTCAGTATCAGCCTACCATTGGACCTGTGCGCTTCGAAATACTCATGGCGCTTCACTTTTTCTTCTCTGATAATCAATCTCCCATCATTCGTATAATACTTATTCATCACCCACGGCATGTGAGATGGAAAATTTCCAGTGCGCGCCAGCCACGGAATTGGTGGCGGATAAATTTTCTCCGCCGTTTCTCGACTCATTTCCCGCCGCCGATTATTCATACTCCGACCAGCGACGTCCGTATCCAGGTCAGTTTTCATATCAACACAACTCTCCACCCCAATGTAATCACCCAATTCTGGAGTCTGCATAATGGAAAAATTGTGAGGGTTTGAATGCGGTTGTGCATGGGTGTAGGTTGTTTATTATATAGGGGATGGGGACTGCAGAATATTGAGAAGAGGGAAAATTTGGCAGTGCCAGCTAATGGTGATCTTCAGGAATTGGGACACTTACAGATTTGGATTGTTATGGCAAATTAATCTGTAAAAATGGAAAATATCAATAATTCAAATGAAATTGATAGATAGAGATTTCCAAATTTTGATACATAAGAATGAAAATTCGAAATTCAACAACACATTCGCCACGGTAGGAAGGACCGTGATAATCGAATATTTATAACATTTAAATTAAATTGACATCAAATATCACCAGAATACTCATAATAATTGAATGGAATTCGAACTATAAAATTCATAAACCAATTAATGGGAAATTTCATTTAGGGCGAATTTGAGGGGTGCAGAGGTTTGAGAATGTTGGCAATCGGTGGACTTACTAGGTTTTACACGCAGTTGTATCAATGTTACACGTCTGAAGGGTTCGTGTACCACGTACTTAATTGAGACTCTTGTTTGTTCTTGAAATTTTTCCTACCTGTCATATGTTTTTAATTTTTTCTCATTTACAATTTTTGGTTCAAATAAAATTGCATTAATGAATACAGAGTTCCTAAAGTAAAACAACAAAATGAAAGCTCAATAATTAATTTTGAAACCAAAAAAGATTTAGTGACAAACGAAACAACACTAAGTTCGGAGACTAGCCTGCAGTTATTAGTAAATCCCGACATATCATTAGATATTGGAAAATGCCCTCTAGACTGGGAATTTTCTCATAGATGTTCTACAAGGTAGTCACATAAGAGTGGCCCCATGTGAATATTTTATGGGGATGGACTACACTGCTCTGTGTAAGTGTAGCACTGTTCCTCCACAGCACAACTTGAGCCATGCAGGGCATGTACAAAAGGGTCAAGTAGTTCTTCAACTTGAAAGCTTGACCTATGGACAGCTCGGAATGAGGGTTCATTGGACGAGTCGAGTCGTGGGCACGACCAACGAGCCTAAATTTCCCAAGCCAGTGGGTTTGTAAAAAATGTAAAAAAAAGGTCTAAAAAAAAAAAAAAAATTATCTCATCAACTGGACTCGTCAGCTCGTGCTTGAACGAACGTAAGCTACTTTGAATAGCCAAGCTCATGGGCAGACCAGCTTAGCCTATTGCTACCACTACATAGGCCTCTGTGTGTAGCCGTTGGCACAGAACATACTGGGTTGGGTCAAACATGACCAAGCCATGGCTAAGGATCATGCCCGTGGCTATGTATTAACCATTAAGGGTCAATTTGAAATGACTTTTGCTTCTACTTCTATAGAAAACTTTCGAAAAAAGCTACCTTAATTTTTATTTGAACGCTAAACTTTTAAAAGCACTAACTATTACAAAAGTGCTTTAGAAGAAGCCACATTGGACAGGCTCTCTAAAAACTCTTCTAACTATCAAGAGCACGTTAATAAAATTAGCCAAACGAATCCAAAATTTTGAATTTCAAAAGCTCATTTTTTACTTTTCAAAAGCCATGGCAAACAAGCCATAAGTGGAGCATAAAATGATATTGTTATTAATCATCAACGAGCTTCAACGTAATTAATTAGTACTACTCAATGCCTCAAGATTTAGTGACAACACCATAATAATACTGCATAGTTTAAAGATTCGTCTATGTTCACCTTTTCAGGACGTTAATTTTCTAATACAAAAGCATCTAACAATTTCAATAACAGAAGATATTGTAAACCATAAAAGATGGCTCTCTTGGTTCTAGGATGGTAAGCATTACTTTGCAGTCTCATTGATCTCCTGGCAATGACTTTATGATATCTGAATCACCTGTCAAATTATAGCAGTACAAGTCCGTTCGGTTAACTGCTCGTCTGGTAAATGATTTACTTCAAAGGAGGTAAAAGAATAAATTTCTCAAACCTGGGTCAACAATGCTGAGGCATGACACGCGGAAATACTTTCCACAGGCTGTTCCCAGATCAACATTGTCTAAACATACATTAAATCACATAATTAGATTCTAAGTAGATGATAAAATACCGAAAAATACCTTCATTGCAGGTGTTGAGTACAGATAGAAAAACACGAACTCACTATCAAGCAGAAAGTACAGGGACAGAATAGTAGGTTGAGTTAGAAGCAATAAGTTCCGTAATGCATCCATTAACATATAAATTTAATCATTACAACAGATTCAACACATAAATACTAATCTTGAAACTTACAGTTGAAACCAGGTGTACTTTTCATTAAAAAAAAGGTAAAAGAATCTGTCCGTCGAATAAATTTAGACACCATGGAAATTCCAACCCAAATCCAATAAAGAACAATTGAAAAAACTTCATAAGGCCTTCCAAAAGACAAGAATATTCGGAAATGGCAAATCAACGCTCAATCATACCATATCCACTATAAAATTCAAACGAACTCAAATGTAAACATCAACTATCTCCAATGAAAGATTACATCGAATGTAAGAATCTAGTATTAATATAATGATTTGCTCATTTAAGTACTAGGTCAATTGAAAATATTTTATCAGGACACAGAACAACCCAAAAGAAAAGAGAGATCAATGACACAATAATTAGAACTCTTCAATCCAGTATTACAGATAAAAATATGAACTTACTTCCATTATAATGATGGACTCCGACTTTAGCAAGCATAGCATAGTACTCAATCTCAGACTTTCTCAATGGTGGGCAGTTGTTTGATATCAATATCAACTTTCCTGTTACATTAATTTCCCAACATTTTTAAATTACTATTTCACAATATCTAAATAAAATCCCTATTAATTATAAAAGTAAATAAATTTGAAATTAAAATAAAATACCCTTGGAATTTCTAAGGGTTTTGAGGACGGTCTTGTAACCAAGAGTGTATTTGCCACTCTTCATCACCAGAGCCAGCCTGTTGTTTATGCTCTCGTGAGTCTTCTTCTGCGTTCCCAATTTCAACAAATATGTAATTACAACGCAAATAAAAATCAATAACAATACTAAAAATGGAATGATTGCGTGCCTCTGTACTGTACATATACGTTTATTTATAAAAGAAGGTAGCGAAATCGGAGATACCGTCTTCTTGCCGGAAACCATGGTGGAAAAGCACAAAAGGAGAAGCACGGAGCAGCGGCCGACAAGTTAAGATTGAGAGAGCGAACCGAGTAATACATGGGACTCCATTTTTCTTCTAGGGTTTAATAGGCGTGCGCTTGACAGTCAGTTGCCCCTGTATGGGCTTTTTCTGTGATTGGTAGCTATTATTTGGCCCAAATTTGAGAGCCCAGATAAATATTTTAGAAAGAAATATATTGTAATTATGAAAGTATTAATGTTAATAGGGGCTTTTACTATTACAAAAATAGAAGAATTAATATGTTCACTAGTCGAACTTACAGTAGTAGTATCGTTATAATGCTATTCTATCTGCGTTATCGGAGTTTGTAGTATTTTTGTTCAAATACAGTATTTTTCAATTTATATGTTCATGCCAACTTGAGAAATTTTTATGGGATTGGAAAATGGAAGCTTTAAGAGGGGCTTTTACTATTACTAGTCAGGTTAACGTGCATTGCACGTTAATTAATTAATTAATGTTAAAAATAAGTAAATGTAAAGTTTAGAGAAATTCTAAAAAATATTCATGAAGTCTCAATTCTCTAGCATTCATATTGTTACGCCTCGATTATTCGGGCCTTGATACCGAAGTGTCATCTCACCACCAAGTAGACCACTCCGACCCTCCCGAATCTTCTCCGAAGTGATATATCAATTCCTACTACTGATCTGCCGAAACATCCCACCTCCGAGGTCGGGATCAAGTGGACCCCGGTTAGAAGATCCGCCGCCAATTTAAGATTTGTCCTGCATCTAATGTTTAAATTGATTTGACGTCCCCATGAGGCTATTTGATGTGACTTATCAACTTTATGTCAATTCAACTCGGGGGAAACAAACTGTCCGCCCACTCTACAAGCGCGGCTGATTGACGCCTATGAGCAGACGCTTCATACCGTCAGATGTATACACGTGTCCCACATCCCACGATTCATACCACCTATAAATACCCAAAGTTTGGCAAGAGGCAAAGGTAATGAAACTCTCAATACACAGCATTCCATAACAAGTTTATATTTTCTCCTCCCCCTTTATTGATTGATTTGTGTAGCCCTTGGGCACTGTTCCGACCACCCAAACCTGACTTGACCGTCGGAGTGTATACGGCCGCCACCACTCCCGTCGGTTCCGGCCGTGTGCGCCTGACCATTTGTTCATTTCGCAGGGAGGAATACGTGGAGTAGCTATAAGTTGGCCACGTGGATGAGCCATTTTTGGAGGTCAACAGATTGGCGCCGTCTGTGGGAAGCTCACTCCCCATTTGAAGTTTTGCGTTCCCCATCAGAGAAGACACCGGAAAAACCGGCGACTGACCCTGAAAAGGGGGCTTCTTGAAAAAGAAAGTCGAATTACAATCCAAGTTCTTACTACCCTTGAAAAAAGGGGTAGGATGAGCTACAGCCGTGAAGACAATCCCATGCGAGAGGCCTCTGAAGAAGAGGTACTCCATAACAATGTTACTCATCAGAGACCGCATCACCGGCGTCGACAAGGCGAAAGAACAGCCATACTCACTGAAGGAATGGCCCAGATAGCAGCGGGTATGAGAGACATAGCAGCTCAGAATATGGCGATGCGGGAACTTCTCATGCAAGCCCAGGGACACCAGAGGCCCCAAGGATCTTATCCGGTACAGGAAATCCCTTTGTCTCACTCTCGAGGCCACATGAGCCGGCACATAGGACGTCCGCTCGAAAGAGAGGAGAACACCGAAGCGACATCTTATGTGCAGGAGAGTCATCCATCAGAACCACCCTTGGGGGGCAACTTTCCTCAAGAACACGATGACCAGAGGTCGGTGAGTGTCTTCGACCGGATAGGGAACGATCCTAGCAATAGGGCCCGCCCGGCAAGAGGGTCGGTCCGGTCAGACTACGAAGAAGAGCATGTTCCCCCTCCTCCTAGAAATAGGAGGGAGAGGAGAAATTTAGTCGATTGGGGGAGCCGGGGAAAAGCACCTTCTCCACCCCAAGATATCCAAGATGATGAAGGATCAGAGGGGCCCTGTCGATCTTATGAGATTGACGACGATGACGATAACCTCCCTTTCTCAAGGGAAATTCGAAGCTTCCCAATGCCAACAAACTTCATGCCCCCTAAGATTCCCAAGTATGAGGGAAAAGGAGATCCGGAGAAGCACCTCACAAAGTATATGACACAAATGAGTCTTAGGGGAGCTTCACCTGCTCTAAAGTGCAGAGCCTTCCATTTAACACTAGGCGGAGCCGCCGAGGTATGGTACAGCAGGCTTCCTCCCCTAAGCATCAGAAGTTGGCCAGACTTGAAGAAAATATTTTTGAACCAGTACCTCTCACGCAGGAAGTAGAGGTGCCAATCCAACGCCTGCAAGACATGAGGCAGGCCCCTGGAGAGACGCTGAAAAGCTATCTCGCCAGGTTTACAGACGAGATTACTTATTGCAAGCATGTCACTGACAGGGAAGCCCTTTCAGCCCTGAAAGGTGGTCTCAATATGAACACTTTGTTTTAGAGGGACGTGCGCAGCAAAAATCCCTCCACATATGATGAGCTGGTGGAGATGATGAGGGTGGAAATTGTTAGTGAAGAAATAATTGATCATCGCAACCGTGCCGCGCATGGACTCCCTCCCCCACAGAGGCAGGTAGGTCGAGGCCCCGCAGCGCACCTTGTTACTCAGCAATGGACCCAAGCAGGGCATACCATCGCTCCCACATCCGGACAGGCCCTAGCTTCCGCCACATTGAACGCAGTGCCGGTGTTGGCATATGATAACGCACCCGCTGAGGCAAGAACATTTGGAAGAACTGACAACAACAAGAAAAAGAAAAAGAGGCCAAACAAGCCCTTGCCAGGAGCAAGATTTTGTAATTTCCATCAACTATACGTGCATGACACCAGCGAGTGTCGGGATGCTAACCGGCGCCCTGATCGAAGCAACCCCCACACTTCCAGTAGAAACGAGCACCCCCGCAGATCCACCTCTCCGAGGAGGGGAAGAAGAGGTCACCATGAACAATCTCCTCGCAGAAGAGAATCGAGAAACCGAGACCAATCCAGGCAAGAGAACCAAGCCCAATTCGCTGGAAGCCAGGTCATCAGGGAAATCGATACCATTATTGGGGGACCCCACGTCGGTGGTAACACCAGGAATGCCCAGAGAAATTATACAAGAGAAGCTAAGGATCCCCCGATGATCACCTACATTGTTGACGAAGCGAAATCAGCAAACAAGATGGCCCCAATCACCTTCTCCCAGGAAGACTCAGAGGGAGTTCACCATCCCCATTGCGACGCTTTGGTTGTAAGAGCCGTAGTGGCTAAAAACGGATTAAAACGCTTGCTCATTGACAACGGCAGTTCCGTGAACATATTGTTCGGCTCCACTTTTGACAAAATGCAGATTGAACATGGATTAATCCCCATGACCGACCCACTGTTCGGATTCACTGGGGACAGCATCATCCCACGAGGGCGGATTACCCTACCTGTGGAAATGGGTTCAGCCCCCCTGGTCGCCCAGCATTTTATGGAATTTCTGGTGGTAGATCATAGGTCCGCTTATCATGGAGTATTGGGCAGACCTGCTCTAAAAGATCTTTGGGCTGTGACGTCCATTCACTATCTGTGCATGAAATTCCCAACTGAACATGGGATTGCAACGATCCGGGGCGATCAGATGGGCTCCAGGGCATGTTACCTAAACTCGCTACGTAAATCTGAGCCTCGAACTGTCAATGTAATTCTAGCCGAAGTACCCGCTGGAGCCGGTGCGGACGTGGAAATGCTCGACGCCCCTGAACAAGGGCATACCTCTGAACAAGAGGAAGATATCGTCATGGAAGAGGCCCTTGAACAAGGACACCCTCTTGATGAGTTAGACCTCCGAATAATCGATTATGAACCAAATGCGACCCCAATGGAAGAACTGGAAACTTTCCCAGTCAATCCAGAAGACCCCAATCAAGTCTTGCGCATAGGGAAGTCACTATCGCCTGAAGCAAAAATTGAGATGATACGATTCCTGAAAGAAAACCTGGATGTCTTCGCATGGAAACATGAAGATATGGTGGGAATAGATCCCAGCATTAGTTGCCATCATCTTAACATCAACCCCTCCTATGCCCCCCATGGACAGAAGAGGCGCGCCCTAAACCCGGAACGGTACGAGGCGCTGAAAGACGAAGTAAGTAAACTTAGTCGCAGTGGTTTCATCAGAGAGGCCATATATCCGAGGTGGATATCCAACCCGGTTCTGGTGAAAAAGTCCAGCGGAAAATGGAGGGTCTGTGTGGACTTCACAAACCTGAATAAGGCGTGTCCCAAGGACAGCTTCCCACTTCCAAGAATTGATCAACTGGTGGACTCCACCGCTGGGCATAAACTACTGAGTTTCATGGATGCGTACTCAGGGTATAACCAGATACCCATGTTCCGACCTGATGAGGAAGCTACATCATTCATTACGGACAGGGGACTGTATTGCTACAAAGTTATGCCCTTCGGATTGAAAAATGCCGAGGCCACATACCAGAGATTAGTCAACATGATGTTTGCCGAACTCATTGGCAAAATCATGGAGATCTACGTGGACGACATGTTGGTCAAAAGCCTCCAGGCGACCGAACACGTGAGCCACATTGACCAACCTTCCAGATACTCAGAAAGTATAACATGAAGTTGAACCCCCTCAAGTGCACTTTCGGAGTGGCATCAGGCCAGTTCTTGGGATACATCGTAAATTAGAGAGGAATTGAGGCAAATCCGGCAAAGGTAGCGACTTTACTAGAAATGAGGTCACCCCAGAAATCGAAGGAGGTCTAAAGTCTCAATATCCGAATAGCCGCACGCAGCCGCTTCATCTCCAGAGCCACTGATAAAAGTTTGCCTTTCTTCAATGTATTGAAGCAAGGAAAGAAATTCCAATAGACTTCGGAGTGCCAAGAAGCCTTCAAGTCCCTGAAGAAACACCTCGGTGGAGCACCCCTCCTGTCGAAACCCCAGCCGGATGAATCTCTGTTGCTGTACCTAGCAGTTTCAGACGTGGCAGTCAGCGCGGTCCTAACCAGGGAAGAAAATGAGCGTCAATTGCCGGTGTATTATATCAGCAAAGCACTTCTCCCAGCTGAAACACGC